CCACCCACCTTGGCCTCCCCATGTGCTAGGATTACAGGTGTGAGCCACCACAGTATGGCCTATTTATGGAATAAAATGCCACTCCATATAGTTTTATCATTTATATTAAAATGTACATTTCTACCACATCGCTTTGAAATTCACCTGTGCCACTTAATGTCTGTTTCATTCCTGGGACTTTTCAAATATATTTTCTTATTAATTTTTTTTTTTTTTTTTTGAGACAGTTTCCCTCTGTCACCCAGGCTGGAATGCAGTGGCGCTATCTCAGCTCACTGCAACCTCCACCTCCCAGCTTCAAGTGATTCTCGTGCCTTAGCCACCCAAATAGTTGGGATTACAAGCATGAGCCACCACACCTAGCTAGCTAATTTTTGTATTTTTAGTAGAGACAGGATTTCACCACGTTGCCCAAGCTGGTCTTGAACTCCTGGGCTCAAGTGATCTGCCCGCCTCAGCCTCCCAAAGTCTGGGATTACAGGCGTGAGCCACCGCGCACGGCCTGTTTCAAGTCTTTTCTCAGATGTCACCTTCTGAATGATGCCCACCATGACCTTCCTGTTTAAAGTTGCAAGCATCTCCTGGCTGGTAGTTACCCTTCTAGTCCCCTTACCCTGCTGTATTTTTTTCCTCCAGGTACAATTAATACTTTTTAATATGCCATATAATTCACTTATCAGTTATTCTTTTTTGCTATTGTCAGTCTTTTGTCAGCAGAATCTCACCAGGGAAGGGGTTTCTTTTCTCCCTGTTTTGTTTATTGGTGGATTGCAGAGTCCTAGAATAGTGCCTGGCACATAGTAGATACTAAATAAATACTTGTTCAATGAATGCTTGAATGAATTCTTGGTAAGGGGATACATGTGAAAACTTTTACTTGTGAATTTTATAGTTGTGGTTTAAAAAAGTTATAATAGCCTGGTGGTGGGCATCTGTAATCCCAGCCACTCAGGAGGCTGAGGCAGGAGAACCACCTGAATTCGATAGGCGGAGGTTACAGTGAGCTGAGATTGCACCACGACACTCCAGCCTGGGCAACAGAGCAAGACTCCGTTTCAAAAAAAAAAATACAGTTATAATAGAGAGAAATATAATAAAATAAATTAACTATAAAATTGGGGTTGTCGCTTTTCTTTTGTTTTAAGTTCCAGATGTGCTTTCTTTTTCTAAATTTTCAGCTTCGGTTGTGGAGGGCCAAAAGGGTATCATTCCTCGAGCTATTCAAGAAATATTTCAAAGCATCTCTGAACATCCTAGCACTGACTTTAATGTGAAAGTATCTTATATAGAAGTATACAAGGAAGACCTAAGAGATCTTCTAGAATTGGAGACATCCATGAAGGATCTTCACATCCGAGAAGATGAGAAAGGAAATACAGGTAAAGTAGCCTGCTTAATCAGTTGCCTTCATTAGCAAACAGATATGCTTTAATTCAGTTTCTGGATATATTCCAAGGAATCTTTAAAAACATACAGAAGCAAAATGAATTTAGTTTTACTTTTAACTTGAACAGTTTTATTGATTATTAATCTCTTTTTTTTTTTTTTTTTGAGATGGCATCTCGCTCCATCACCCAGGTCACCCAGGCTAGAATGTAGTGGTGCGATCTTGGCTCACTGCAACCTCTGCCTCCTGGGTTCAAGTGATTCTGCTGCCTCAGCCTCCCGAGTAGCTGGGATTACAGGTGCGTGCCACCATGCCCGGCTAATTTTTGTATTTTTAGTAGAGACGGATTTCACCATGTTTGTCAGGCTGGTCTCAAACTCCTGACCTCGTGATCCGCCCGCCTCGGCCTCCCAAAGTGCTGGGATTACAGGCGTGAGCCACCGCGCCAGACCTGTTTTTGGTTTTTGAGAAGAAACTATATATGGTAGCTTATGGTCTTATTAGATAATTCAGTACAGTTTCTCTCTTCTGGATATAATTCAGACTAATGTTTTGAGCTCCTTTACCTTATGGAATACAATTATTGATTGTTTTTATCTTTTATCAAACAGTTACAAAAATAATACATGCTTCTTTGTAAAATATCAAGCAGGACAGAAGTATATACACTTCACTATCACTCTTGATAAACTTGATGAAAATATTTCATATCTGATACCAATGTTGAAAAAATTTTGGAAGGATGTTACAAATGATCTTAAATTACAGTATGTCTTACATAATGTCCCACTCACAAGTAAAGTGCATTTGTTTGACATATTTCTTTAGAGTCTCTGTGTAAAGCAGTAATGTCCATGCTGGCTGCTACACAATTAGTACATATGGGAAGCTTTTTAAAAATACTGATTTCTGGGTCCTACTTCTCAGGGGTTCTGATTTAATTGGTCTGAGATGGTGCCTGGGCATTGGCACTTTCTTTTTTATAAAGCTACCAGGTGATTTGCATCTGGGTTTGAGAACCGTAGTGCTCACTTATAGCCTAACATTGGAAAAATTTAATGAAAAATTTAATGAAAGTTTTACTATGACTTACAGGAACTGGGTTGTTTAAAAAGTGTCATGATGGAAATAATGAAAGTGAAATGATTATTTTTTAAAGAAATAGTGATGTGACAGTATCTGAGTAAAGATGAATTATGGCAATATAATTTGAGCATGAAATCAGGAGCTTTCCTTCTCTGATTCAATTCCTAAGTCCACCTACTTCTCTTTGCAGTATTTTTGGATATAAACAAATAATGCAGGTAGTAAATGCAGGTTATTTTTAGTTCATTCTGTGATTGAAATAAAAACTTTTTTTCTTTTTTGAGTACAGTACATTATGGTATTTAAAGTGTTTTCTTTTAATTGCCATCTCATCTGTCTACCTTGCATTCTGATATTATATAAACCATACTTGTTTTTAAAATGAATAACCAACTTTATTTGTATTGAATTTTTTACTCATCATTGATTATGACCTCACAATACAAAAAAACTTAAAAGCCAAGGATGGCTTGATTATTAATAAAGCTGAAAAAAAACCAA